TTGAATCTTTACGCATTAGGTACCAAAAATTACACTAGTATGACGGCACCCACCATCCTTGTGCAGTATATATATTTTATTAGTTTAAATGCGTTTTTCTGAAAACCATGTTTTCCTCAGCTGCGGATAGTGTATCTCAAAAATTAATGGTTCGAGCTGTTTTTACAGAAATGTTCGTAATGAAATTTTTCACTGTCTAAACCTACTTTCTGAATAAATTTGCATGTTTTAGTATTTTTTGTAAAGCAAATAAGGTGTGTTTCAAAATTATACGACACCAACACACTTATTTTTTGAAAATTTGTAGCGTTGTTGTTGTTTATAGAAAGCGAAACATTTAAATGCAGATCGAAAGAAGAATGTATGATGTATACGAAAAAAAATACCACGCGTCCTTGATCCTCTTTTTAAGGACTTACCGCTAATTTTTCGAAATATAGTCCTTTTTTGGCTATGAGCGATCGTTTCATAATTATACGACACCATCGATTTTTTCCGGTTCCAATGATCAATCTTGACCGAAATTTTTTTGCTGGTTAAATATAAACTAAAAGGTTCCATTTTGAGAGTAATCCAGCCCAAAGGTCATTTCAATCTTCAACCCATACATAAATATTGAATATGTCTCTCTACACCTTAAAAAAGTACTTTTTCGAAGTCATATCCCACAATTCGTCTTAACTTTTGTCTGGTCAATATTCTTAACACCTTTTAATCAAATAAGAATCCTGTTTAGTTCATTACGTGCACGAAACAGACCTCCAAAATAATTTTTTAAAGAACTGCCCGTTTGGAACAAAACCTGTTTTATTCCAAAAATATTTGATTTTGGGCGATACTTTCTGTCAAAATGCAAAAATTTGTTCTTCAAAACCTTAATAAACTTTCCACATTTCACGATTGAAACATTTGAAATGCGAACCCCAGTCCGCGCCACTTTAAAGTTTGTTCCAAATTTTTTCATATGAATTTGAGTGTTTTCTGCATGAGATTTCATTAAGGGGGCGCAGACTGTGGTTCGCATTTCAAATGTTCCAATCGTGAAATGTGGAAAGTTTATTAAGGTTTTGAAGAACAAATTTTTGCATTTTGACAGAAAGTATCGCCCAAAATCAAATATTTTTGGAATAAAACTAGTTTTGTTCCAATCGGGCAGTTCTTTAAAAAATTATTTTGGAGGTCTGTTTCGTGCACGTAATGAACTAAACAGGATTCTTATTTGATTAAAAGGTGCTAAGAATATTGACCAGACAAAAGTTAAGACGAATTGTGGGATATGACTTCGAAAAAGTACTTTTTAAGGTGTAGAGAGACATATTCAATATTTATGTTTGGGTTGAAGATTGAAAGGACCTTTGAGCTTGATTACGCTCAAAATGGAACCTTTTAGTTTATATTTAACCAGAAAAAAATTTCGGTTAAGTTTGATCATAGGAACCGGAAAAAATCGATGGTGTCGTATAATTATGAAACGATCGCACATAGCCAAAAAAGACTATATTTCGAAAAATTAGCGGTAAGTCCTTAAAAAGAGGATCAAGGACGCGTGGTATTTTTTTTCGTACACATCATACATTCTTCTTTCGATCTGCATTTAAATGTTTCGCTTTCTATAAACAACAACAACGCTACAAATTTTCAAAAAATAAGTGTGTTGGTGTCGTATAATTTTGAAACACACCTTACAATAACAAAAAGGCACAAAAATAACTAAATAATAACTAAAATAAATAACTAAAAAATAAATAACTAAAAGAATGACCTGCAAGGGTTCTGTGACACCATAAAACTTTTTTTCTGACTGTAAAATTAATCTGATTTTAATTCCCGTTACTCGTAGAGTAATAGGTTATATTGTATTCGTGCAAAAGTATGTAACAGCTAGAAGGAAGCGTTTCCGACCCATAAAGTATATATATTCTTGATCAGATTTCCCACACATATTCTTATGCTTCCTACGCAGTGCAAGTTTGTTTTATCCGAGCGCCACGCCCCCTCGTACTCTCTTGTTACACCCTTGCAGAGGGTATTATAATTTCAGTCAGATGTTTGCAACGCAGTGAAGGAGACGTTTCCGACCACAGGTATATATATATTCTTGATCAGCATCAATAGCCGAGTCCATCTAGCCATGTCCGTCTGTCCGTCTTTCAGTCTGTCCGTCTGTCCGTTTCTATGCGAACTAGTCCCTCAGTTTTAAAGCTATCGCGATTAAACTTTCCCAAAAGCCTTCTTTCTATTGCAGGTAGTACATATGTCGGAACGAGCCGGGTCGGACCACTATATCTTGTGGCTCCTATAGGAATAATCAAAAAAATAATAGAAAAACTATTGTAACTTTGTAGAATGTAGGCGTTTTGATTTTTGACAATGTAAAAACAACATTTTAAGTAGGCATACCGGCAAGCGTATACAATCTTCGGCTGGCCGAAGCTAACTTCCTTTCTTGTTTTTTTTAAAGTTTGTTGACAGTTAAATTACTAATGTTTTAAACGTCTTACCAATTTAATTTAAGCACGTTATTATTATACACGTTACTCGTAGAGTAAAAGGGTATATTGGCACAAAAAGTAAAAATGCCGTTTTATTGTGTTTATCAATACCTATCGAAATGTAGAAGAAATGTTTCAAATCGGACCATTCGTTAAAAAGTTAAGCGCGATCAAAGTTTTATATCTCCATCGGCGCAACCGACTATAGCGTTCTCTTTTGTTTTTTATAGCATTTTCAAAAAAGATAAAATAAACTTTTTAGGTGAAAAATGGTACACGACTGTCACAGCTTAAATCTAGCTTAAGCCTGGCCCCTAATGTTTCACTCAAAAGTTTTGTTATTAAAAAGATTTTAAACAAGAGAGAAAGCTGTAGTCGTGTTGGTGTCCCGACTATCTAATACCCGTCACTCAGCTAAAGGGAGTGCGAACGCTGTACTCGGGTTGGTGTCCCGACTATCTAATATTCGAACCTCAGCTAAAGGGAGTGCGAGGGAGATAGATTTATAAATTTTGATTGCGTATATCTTTTTAATGAATGGTCCGATTTGAAAAATATCTTCTACATTTCGATAGGTATAAATATACACAACAAAATTGCATTTATACTTCTCGGAAATCTTTAAAGATGTGGGCACAGGACACATTTTAAAATCGTTAGTGGGCGATTGTGGGCGTTAGAGGGGGCGTGGCGCTCGAATACAATATACCCTTTTACTCTACGAGTAACGGGTATACAAATTTTGGTTTAATTTGCTGTGGACTAGTTTTCAGAAATTGGGGTGTCCCAACTTACAGATCGTCCCAACTTACAGACCTCTCCCCTATATATTTGTCACTGCAGGATCCCGGATTTGGTTGTGGGCGGAGATCTCAGAACACATTTCGGAAACGTCACCTCCACCGCGTTACAAACTGCTGGCTGAATGGGTATACGAACATAACAATAGAAAATTTAAGGAAAGTGCACTATAGTACGTTTAAATGTACTTCTATTTGGCTGAATATTTACCACCCAATGCGTTGTATAAAACATTGATTAGATTTTAAATGGTCTATCATAGTAAAGTGAACGGTTTTCCTCCGATTATATTTTTCCTATAATTTGCTCATACTCTTCGCTGCAGAAATACTTTTCTTGGCAGACAAATTTGTATGTAAATTTATCCAAAGCAAATTTGCCATGTTTAAGGGGTCGTGGTTGGTAAAAAGAGTGTGAGTGAGGGTTAATACTTGTCACACATGTCGCCGCTTATGTTATACTCGTATCTTGTCTGTGTCCCAACCGCCGCTTAACACTCGTCAGCCTCAATTTGTTATGAACGCTTTCCGTTCTGTGGGTTATCTGCACTGGGCGAACTCCCCCAGACACCGAAAATCCCAACTCACCCTCTCCATGTTACCCATATCATTTGCAAAGTCCGTATGTGTGAGTTTGGGAACGGAGAAAGTGAGGGGAGTGTAAGTATTTTTCTCGTTATTTTACACCCCAATGGAAGTGAGCTATCCGCCACTTCCCTTTGAAATTGACACAGTTTATGGCAATGTTCGATATCGTAATTCTAAAATCTCTCAATTTAACATTTATTTGTCGTAAATTAGAAATTTTTGTGCATAATTTGTATTGATGCAAATCCAACGCCTTACTTTGGGGCGTCTTCCATATTGACTTTTGGGAATTGGATTAGGTAGCACAATATATATTCTGCATTTTTTCCACATCTCACCACAGCATATGTATGTTACCTATTCGTATTTTCGCCTCCACCTTCCGTAATTGGCTAATTTTAATGCCAAGTCATGTAGCACCCATAATTTGTTGTGGGTTCCGTTGCTTAGACTCGAGTAATGCGCACATTTTGCGCTTAAATTTAACGCTCACTTAACTCTGGGTTTGGTTACCGCGAATGCCAGTCTCAGACTATTAGTACCACTTTTAGACACTTAAAACTCAAACACTTTATGCTTTCTTACCATGTAATGTAAGGTTTTAAGTTGGGTTAAATGCTAAGTCTATTTTTAGGAACTATAGTGTGTAGACACCATGCGCGGATCCACGGGGTGTTATATGGGTGATATATCACCCCCCACTCGGGTGAAAAATGAAAGAAATTCTGGTATTCAAAAAGTATGCAATAAAAAAATTATTCTGATAAAAGTGGACAAATGCAAATAACACATTAAAATACTTTGCTACATAAAGTCTTTTATTTTTAAGGATTTTGGGATTCTTTTTTGTTAGATGATAACTACAACATGAACTATTCTTGTAAGTCGTGCTAATAAAGATTGTGCCCACCTCGGCGTAAGCCAAACAAAAAATGTTTGAAGTATAAGGGAAACAAGATATTTTTTGTTGTATTTTAAATTTTTTTAACCTAAAAATAAAAATTGTTTTAAATAATGGAAAAATAGTAATCGTTCCGCCTAAATATAAAATGAATAAAAATACTGTAATTGCCACGATTCTACAATATTTACCTTACTTCTTTCCGACTATACTTTTTAGGTAATTCCTTTCGATTTCCCCCTTTTGCAGTTACCTGACGCCAAAGATCTCCACAACATGTCACTAGTCGGCAACTACTTCAATCCCCACCTGCTGCTCAACCACGGGATGCTGGTGGCGAACGGAGCTGCGGCGGCGGCAGCGGCGGCAGGAGCGAGTCCAGCGAGCTATTTCGCCAGTGACCGCTCGCCACTGGGGAAGCCGTCGGTCCTGTCCAACTTCTCGTTGCCGTCGGCTTTCTCGCCGCCCAAGTACATCGGCATATCCCTGGATCAGGTGAGTAGCAAGCGAACTCCTCTGAAAACGAAGGGGGATAAGTTGCGAGATCCGATGAGCTGATAATCGGAGGAAGATTGACACTTGTCATAATGGGATTTTCACTTCGATTTCTCCCCGGCAGAATCTGTTCAACGGCAGCGAATCATTTCGCACCGATTCGGCCAGTCCCACATGCACATCCCACGAATCCATGGAGGGATCACAGGATTACGATGCCGTTGAAAAGGGTGAAAGTCCGCGCAGTAATAATTCTCAGGATCCCAGGGATTTGAGACGTAAGTAGGGTTGCACCACATTTATTTATTTAGCAAATTTACATCCACAAAAAATTTGCATGTTTGCGATAAAAGGAAAAACTTTCAGTTCGGGGCATTCGATTTCCCTTTTTACTGATAAAAATCTGCAGGCGTATTTGTTTCAATTTTACTTTTTCTGAGCAATTTTAACGCTTCAGTAGGTTAACTTTGACTGGCAGGCGTAAGGACAGCGACAGGACCTCTCCCTCAACTCCACTTCAATTTGTTTTTTATTAGTTTCCTCGGGCTGAGATATTTGACTTAAATTTCTCTTATTTACCTGGGGTTGTTCCTGCTCTGCTCGTTCTTTAATTTTCATTTTTGCTTTTCACAAAGTAGGCTAAACCGAATGGGCTGCAAATGCGTTGCTAATTGGTCTAGCAAAGCCGTCAGAGTTAAGCGCCTTATGACTAAAAATCTGAGGCACCACATGAAAATGACAAATATGAATGCAAATGAACAAAACGAATTCGGAAAGTGAATTGAAAGGATGTGGAAAAAATGCCAGGGACGGAGTTGAGAGGGGGTATGATAGGTATTATCATGATTGGTATTACCATTTTAAGGTTTAAAATTTAAGCCAGAGCCTAGAATTTGTAAACACATAAAACACAAAATATATATTTTGTGACAAACATTAAAAACTTCAATCAAACCTCATTTGTTTAACAGCTCATTCTTTCAGATCATAATCATTCTTTAAATTACAAGATTTTTTCATAATTATTCATTGCTTTAAGGATAATAGCCCTACTTTGTGATTAAAGTTGTGATGTAATTTTAAAAAATACAAATAATTTTATTTTAGCTTTTTAGACACTGACAACCATTTTAAGGTCCCCTTTCTGCGACTCCTCTGTCTGCCGCACAGACAACTCTTTATTTATCTTTAGGCCGTTATTAGCTTTTCTACTTAAGCCGGAAAACCAGTTTTCCCTCATCAACCCACCACCCATACTCAACATGTGGATTTGTGTTTAACTTTCGGATTATGCGAGTAGTCGTATATAGACAGACGCCCCATAAATTAATTTTCATAAATAATACACTTTTAATTAGCTGAAACTGCAACACAAGCGAATATCTATCAATGGGTTAAACTAACTAGAGGTAAACAGAGAGCACATCTAATTGTAACCCCTTTGCCGGGCAGAAGTCAAAAGGGCATGCCGGAAATTCGGAAGCAGCGAAGGGTTAAGAAGAAGGGTGCATGTCGTAAGTGTTTTAAATGGCACAAGGATACTCCACTGGAGCAGGCTTATTGAAATGTTACATCAACCCCATTCCAAGAAGACCAACCACTTGACTACAAAGTCAAACCGACCGCACTTTCAGGCTCGTGCTCGGCACACGAAGATGTCCTCCAGTCCTGGGCTAATTACTCATCCACGACATTGCGGCAACTCTTCTGGAGGCAATTATGAGACCCATCCACCCCTCGAGATCCCATAATGTTTGCTCATTTATTGTCGGCTGTAGGACACACTTTTTCGGTTTTCTTTACGATTTGGTCGCCCAAAGGATGCGCAAGTGTTGCAAATCGCTTTGATTGCATTGTTTGCCATTGTTATGACGAGCGTTATTATTGTTTCCCTGCGCGGTTTTTGTTACTCCGATGATGTATTACATCGAATGCACACTTGGAATTTTCATATTAATTTCTGTAATAATAATGGCATCTACAACCAGGGGAAAACCCCAGTACAGAAGCAAAAGTCATATTTCATCAAACGATATATGAAACGCCCATTCCTTGGATGGGGAGGATTATGAAATAGCATCGTTGAGCACGTGTCATAAACGGGGTGGAGTGGGAGGTCATTGAACACTAAAATATTAGGGAGTCTAGTCAGTCATCTATCAAAACTATAAATTTTGAATACTGCATTGACGGCAATTTGAATTTTAAATAAGTTTAATTACATTAATGGTATTATAATAAATAATTATGGAGTTTATGAAAATAAATTAAGTTCTGGTTTAAATTCCTCAAAGTATTAAAAAAAATATGATATGATATATCCCACATTAACTTTTTACCTTAAAAAATATTTCTTGAGTATAACTTTAATACAATGGCCTGAAACATAAGTAACACTTTTAACTTGAATATTATTTTAATAATATGTTCGCATTCAATGAAAATGTAATTTAAATTAAATTGAATTGAATTTTAATAGCAAGCCATTTTAAACGTTTTACCAAGCGAAAGTGAAAGGTTGAATAAATGTCCAGCGAACTGCTAAGCTAATTTGAACAAAAGTCACGACTCTGATGTATCTCTCTATATATGTATATCTATGTATAATAAGCATATCCATTCGACTGTTTCTGATGAGCGCGGCTAACCGACATATTTTGTTGGGCAATAATTTAGAAGAATATAAATAAAACTGTTTGGCTGGCAATTCAACAATTGTAGTTGTCCTGGACGACTACGCCAGTTCCGACCATATTGCGATATATTTATTGTAATATTATTTTAATTGCCGGCCCGCAGTCACGTGCAGAACGGCGGACAGATTTTGTTTGGTAGGTTTGTTGCAAACAGTTTGTATTTATTGTGGTTGCCGGTGGTTAATTTTTTTCGCCTGTGGCTGCCAAAATACGTGGGGTAGACGTGTGTCTGACATCAGGCGCCCTGCATCGGAGCTGTGTGTTTGCTGATGCTTTTGGTAACAATTCAGATTCACTTCAAGAATTACGACCTCCAATTAATTTTTCCGACATGTTAAAAAGAGGCATGAGGCAATTAGAAAATGCCTGCAAAATTTATTGGCTATGGAAAAGTACGGGAGGTGCACCAAGAAAAACCAATGCCACTAAGTCATTCCTCGATTTATAAGTTATACAAAGTTTACAAAATAATATCCTTGAATATATTTTGTCGGGAAAAGCATTAAAATATCATTAAATTCCGTTTGGGCTTTTTCATTTAGTTTATGGAAGTTTGTCAAGTTAATTTTGTACATTTTTATCGTTAGTAAAATGTACATCATTATTACATAGAAACTTCTGTTTCCAAACAATTTAGTTTAATGTTAATTTTCTCTGAGAAGAACCAAAACATGGCATTGATAATTTAGCCCTAATAAAAAATGTTTTTTTAAGCTTAGTTTCCTTTTACAAACTCATGGCACAAACCAATGTTTCCATCTAGATTATAACACATTTTGTATGTAAAGGAAGTTTGAAGCCAATGCGCCAGTCCTGAATCTGAAACAATCTTTAAATGAGCGACCCCAGTGGAAAATATAATTTTTGTAAGAAAAATAATGGTTAATTTCCAGACTTACCTTACTATTTGAGGCATTTGCTATTTTTCTGCAAGTGCAGGATGTAATTCTCAATTCTTCAAACTTTATCTTTTATTGCGGACTTGACTTGAATTTACCGATTTGCCGCCCTCTTCTCGCCCACACAGATCTGCATAGTGCGGGGAAGGGTCACCAGGCACTGGCCCCCTCCTCGTCGTCCAGCTCTTCGTCCTCCTGCTCCACCAGTAATCCGGCCATCAGCACCGCGACCAGCAGCGTGGCCGTTTCGATGGCCAGCCACCTGGCCGCCTCCTCGCCCCACCACCACCCCCACTCGCATCCCCATCCACTGGCCCATCCGCACGCTCATAGCCACCACCACGGTCACCATGTGGGAGCAACTCCGGTGTCCACGGCAGTGACGACGCATCACCACATGGCCCATCCTCATCCGCTGTCCCACCACCACGCCGCCCACCACGCGGCTTTGGCCAGTCTGAGCATGGCGGGTCTGCGGGCGGTTCCGGGTGGTTTGAGCCTGGTCAGTGGGCTGCAGGCAGCAGCTGCCGGGGGAGCCATTCCCGAAATGTGCCCCGTTTGCGGATTGAAGCTGAGCGCCGAGGAGTGGCACACGCACTTCCTCACCGAACTGGACAGGCTCTACAAGCTGAGTGCGGGATTCGAGAGGCCCAATCTGCAGGCCACCTACATGTTCGCTCCTCCATGTCCGGCACAGGAGAACGCCATTCGCACCAGTCACAATCGCTGGGAGGTGAGTGTTTCTTAGATATCATATAGGGGCGGACTTCATATGGTTTCCCAACGTTTCCAGACCTTCCAGAGAATAAGAAACAATCGCCAGAATCGGCTGAGACTCAAAGTTCGAAAGCGCAAGTACGGCGAAATGTACATGATGGAAAGTCTTTACTGCAGCAGTTGTCCCATCTGTAAGAGGAAGTATGCCTTGGAGACGGGAAAGATTCCCCCAGAGGTAAGTCCAAGAAATACATTATTCACTGGCAAACGAAGTCGTAACTTTAAAATAAATTCAAGTCGAAATGAAAAGCAAAATAAATATAACATGAACCAAAAGTCATTATATGAAATGAAAATTTGATAGATATACTTAATTATAATGAAAAATGTTATTATAAGTTTTAACTAAATGGCAATCAGTCAAAAAATATTAGCAGTGCAAAGTTGTGCTCTTATTTAATTTTTTTAAACCTATTTAAATCATAGGACGATGCTAAATCGCAAGAGGAGATCGAAACGGTGGACGTGGAGAGCTGCAATGACGATGTGCCAGACTCAGGGTCAGAGCTAACTGCCCCAGGATCTGGGTCATCTGCCACCGTTCTGCCGCCCTCCAGCATGCACAATAGCAATGCGCAGCCGGGCAAGCTGGACGGGATTCTCTACCGGACGGGCTGTGTGATCAACCAGAAGGATCCGCATCCCGACGAGCACGATGTTAGCACCAATGTGACAACAGCCAGCAGTAGTAGTTGGTCAGGCGAGGTCAATACACAACCCCAGGCACATATCAGTGGTATGATTTTAAATGTATATCTTTCATGTATTATTTTGTACGATTCCTGAACATCTGTATTCAAAATGACTTATTTAATGTTATTATTTCATTAGTTTAAAATTAGTTAATATGAATTAAATTTAGTAAACCTTTAATAGATTTTCTTTAAAAAAATGTAATTGCAAATTTATATTTCTATGATGATAATAACTTATTTGCATACTTATATTTTTACAATGTAGGTGTTATATATTTTTGTATGTTAGATGCTTTATGCTAATTAGTCTCTTCCATTTAACCCTCAGTGAAAACCGTCAGTGAGCTGTCATCTACCACACATCACTATTACAACGCCGATTCCTGCGGAGTGGGCGTTAACGACAACAACAGCAGCAGTAGCACCAACAACAACAGCGGAAGCAACAACAAGGATATAATGATGGACACGGCCTCGTGCCAAAACGATAGCGATGAGGACGTAATTGTAGACGACGACGATACTGTGAAGATGTCGAGCAAAATCAATTATAACAAAATTCAACGCCGACAGGAGGAGCAAAATGTGGGCAGTAGCAGGTGAGATAGTCGTCCAGCACATCTTTGAAAACAATGATCAACATTTCAATCTAACTAATATTTAGAAACTTAGAGAAATGAAGTTAGGAGTAGTGATATTTTAATTAATTGCGGCTTAAACATGTCTAAAAACAACTCTTCCCAATTTTCCGGTCCATTCTCCGAATCGTTGTGTAGGGGAATATTGTCCTGAACACAATAGAGAATGTCTTATCGAAGCCAACATGATTCTTGTCCATCCATCGAGTAAATAAATAAAGGTCTCATTTTTAATACAGGGTAATCTTTGTTTTTGAGTAATTTAAAAGAAATTGAATTCAAAAATAATGATTATAAATTAAAATTTGTCATTAAAAATTAAAAAAATTTTTTTTTTTTTAAAACCAGTAAATGCCGTCTTTCTAAACATCTTTTACAACCATATCTTGTTAATTAACAGATCTCTCGAGAACATTTCGCCCGCGGAGGAGAGACCCCGTTCGGAGCCGCAGGTGAGCAGTACCGAACCGGGACCCATGGACATATCTCACAACAACAACAACAGCAGCAGTAACAACAACAACAATCCGGCGTCCAAATATGCGGAGAGCATGGAGAACAGCCTGTCGCAGTTGTCGTCGATGGGCGTGCCGGGATTAACGCAATTGGACACAAAGGTGGGAATTAGTTCGGATTTAAAACCGGACGATGAAAACAAATGTTTCATTTGTAAGGTAATTTCTCAGTTTGCTTCAGTTTTCACCTTAATTTGAGCACGATCTATAGTCCCGAAACCCCCTAACTTTCTCCCTCTGATCTAGTAATTTCTACTAGCTAATGCACACTTATGCCAGAACTTCAACATCGTACGTTCTATAATTTGTCCTGTTTTTCTTTGTATATTTCAAGACAGGCATAAAGGATCTCAATACGGATGCGTTCCTGCGCGGTCGCAATTTTTATTTTCACCAGAGTTGTGCCAACGTTATGAGCAGCTATCGGTTGAACAAGGAGCTACTGAATCAGGCCCAGAATCAGCAGAGGGCGGCCGGGAACGGGGATTCGGTGGCCGCCACGGCAACGCCCCGCAGCCTTTCACCTGCCCAATCGCCGCAGCAGAGTGTGTCACAGGTCATGGAGTGAACGGCGGGGCCAGGGGGTCGAATTGATAATTGCAATCAAAGCGTGAATTTATTAAAATTAATTAATAACGTATTGTATTTGAGGTAGCTAATGAAACGCGAAGAGCAAATTGATGTTTAATTGGGCATCCCCAAAGTAGGCAACACCTCCTCGGTTCTGCTAGCCCGCCCACCAAAAAAAAGTTCAACGTTTTTGCCCTGTATAAATTCTACATGTAAAATTAATTTTTTTTTCATTTTAAATGGAATTGGTTTTTGTAAAACAATATTTTAGTGCAATTTTTGTGTTGCCTTCTCAACTGTCGTTTAATATATATGTATGTATTCGTAATTTCCCTGAACGTGCTATAATTGTTAAATGTTTGAATGATAACAAAACAAACAATATACGATAAATGAAAAAAATTATCATCTCTAAGCAAAAACTAGTTGTAAATTCTTAAGCCCATAAATTATTTATGAAAAATCAAATAAATTATATGAAAATAATATGAAATACCAATATTAATTATAATCGGAATGAATGTAGGTAAGTAATTATTCTATACAAATTTGATATATACATATACGAGCATGAGTAACTAGGATTTTAATTAGTTGTATAATGTTGTTGGTTATAATATTTAAATAAATTAATTAATTTATGAGGTTTAGTCCCTTTTTGCGATAAACAAACAAAACAATTTTCAAATTCAGAACTGCCAAAGCTTTCATTTATGCATAGAAAGCTCTCTTAAGCTCAAAGAATTTATTTTTTTTCATTTAGCAGTGGAAATTTTTTAAGCTGATTACAATTTGCCGACAAAAGCAAATAACTCAAATTTATGAAGTATCAAATGAATTTACATTTAAATGAGTGTAATTATGAAATAAGGTAATAAAATACAGCTGGAGAGGGTCAGAAAATAGTATTGAGAGACAGAGAGAAAGCTTACGTAGGGGTTCGAGGTTCTCCACAATTCTCTTTCGGGTATAAAAAGCGGCCGCCCACTGCCGCCTGACTTTCAGTGAGCATCGCAAGTGATCCCCGAGTAGAAGTGCCATCAGCCCATCGATTTTCGAATTTATAATTATAATGTTTTCCAAACTGTCAGCACGCGGCATTGCCACCCGCATTAGCTATTTGGCTCAGAAGACAGCAGCCCAGGAGACCACCACCTCCTCCGGATCCCTTTCCGAGGCCGTCTACGCCCGTGAGAACAAATACGGCGCCCACAACTACCACCCACTGCCCGTAGCCCTTACGAAGGGCGAGGGGGTGTTCGTCTGGGATGTGGAGGGGAAACGGTATTTCGACTACTTGAGTGCCTACTCGGCAGTCAACCAAGGTCACTGCCACCCAAAGATCGTCAAAGCCCTAACCGAACAGGCCTCCAAATTGGCCTTGACATCCCGGTAAGTCAATGAATTTACAGAGAACAAAGACGTGCCCCCTTAAAAACGTATCGGCTGCCTTATCAGTATTAAGGGTGGACCTTGTTTATGTTCAATTTATCCGAAAATACTTATTTTATCAATAAAATAGATTCTTTTCAATTTAAAAATTTTTAAATCGGAGCCCATGAATTCTTAATATTTCTGATTTTTTTTACTTTATTTTGCACGTGTAGCGTAATAAAAATAAAAATAATATTTTCAAAAGCAAATTTATTTAGAATTTAGAAGACAAAGTCTCACTAATGTTTATAAAAACATAAGTAATTGCCCAAATGTGTGTCCTCATGTTCATTTGTAAGCTGCGTGTGCATTTTCTTTCTGTTGTCAACTGAATAATTGAAGCAATAACATTTTCGGTTGTATGCTATTAAAACTTATAGATAGAGAGGCGTATGTCGCGGGTGCTATTTTTTAATGTGTCTGGACAAGATTATTTAGCTTATAAATTCAATTTTCGGACTAATGAAGTACTTTTTAAAAACCACCGTATTCAAAAAACGACATGAGATTAACTAACCGGACATATTAAGTTTTTTTTCCTAAACCATTAAAAAAGCTTTCAGTTAAAAACATGCAGCATTTGTTTACGTTCAAAGTTATTTATAAGTATATATATATTCTTTGGACGTTGATAACCCCCCATGGAGCAAAAATCTTATCAGCCCCCAATAAATACCTATATAAATTCGGACTTCCCTGTGTGATTCTGGATTTTTCAAAAGAAAATTATTTAATTAATCCATTGTACTTAAGTACTAATATGACTACTCATTGCCGGTTTTGTTTGGTTTCATTTGGGTTGCCAGGGCCAGATTGTCAGGTTGAGAGGGCCCATAAAGTCAAAAGAGGTTCGTTGATAACAACCCGCAAGATCGATGACTTGTTATTGTTTGTTGCGAATTCTAAATTTGGAACTTAGTTGAGATTGATAACGTAAAAATTAAAAAAATCGAGAAAAAAATATTTGTCGTTTATTTTTAGATTACCACAATTACAAATTGTTAGCCTATTTTTTAAGATTAGTTTGATAATCGTCGTTATCAACAATACAATAGGTTACCCTAATCTAACAATATATTGATATCATACATTTTTAAAATTTAAAGCCACCGACTGAGAAATGCGGGTTTGCATTTCTGGGGTTTCTTAAATGTTGTTTCTTATTAGCATTTTTGAATATTTTTGAATATACTTTTTATAGGTAAGCGGTAATAAACTGAAGGTCAGGGTTGAGATATGTTTTATTCTCTTCTTCAAAGGAATTCAAGGGTGATGCTCTTCAGAAGAGTAGGAATGTTAGTTTTGTTGATACCAATATCGTATTTTCGCGGTTGATTTATTTCTGATCCTTCAGTGGAGTTTGGCGTGAGCATTTTTTAGAAAGCTTACGTTAAAAACCCTTTTTTATATATTCGCAACAGTTATATCATTCCTTATTAATTATATATAAACTTTTTTTCTATTGTGTTTCTCTGGAACATTAACTTAATCTAAATTTTTCTCTCACCAGTGCCTTTTACTCGGATGTCCTTGGGGAGTACGAAGAGTATGTAACCAAGCTGTTTGGATTCGACAAAGTGCTGCCCATGAACACGGGAGTTGAGGGTGGAGAAACAGCCTGCAAACTGGCCCGTAAATGGGGATACCTGGAAAAGAAAATACCGACCAACCAGGCCAAGATCATTTTCGCGCGCAACAATTTTTGGGGACGCACCCTGTCGGCAGTGTCGGCCTCCAATGATCCCAGCAGCTACGAGGGATTCGGACCCTTTATGCCAGGATTCGAGCTAATTGAGTATGATAATGTGACAGCCCTGGAGGAGTCCCTCAAGGATCCCAACGTGTGTGCTTTTATGGTGGAGCCCATCCAGGGAGAGGCTGGTGTGGTGGTGCCCAGTGATGGTTACCTGCAAAAGGTTCGAGAGCTCTGCTCCAAGTACAACGTCCTGTGGATTGCCGATGAAGTGCAAACGGGATTGGCCAGAACCGGAAAACTGCTGGCCGTGAACTACGAGCAGGTTCAGCCAGACATTCTTATCCTGGGAAAAGCCCTATCCGGAGGACTGTATCCCGTATCTGCGGTTCTCTGCAACGACCAGGTGATGCTGTGCATCAAGCCAGGAGAGCATGGATCAACCTACGGAGGAAATCCCCTGGGCTGCCGAGTGGCCATGGCCGCTTTGGAGGTCCTGCAGGAAGAAAAGCTGGCGGAGAATGCCTTCAAAATGGGCGAACTTCTGAGGGGCGAGCTGTCTAAACTTCCCAAAGATGTGGTTTCGGTGGTGCGCGGAAAGGGACTGCTCAACGCCATTGTTATTAATCAGAGTAAGCTTCATTAGTTAGCCGAAAATAAACATGTTCTGATTGTAATCTTTTTGCAGAATACGACGCTTGGCAGGTGTGCTTGAAGCTCAAGGAGAATGGTCTTTTGGCGAAGCCTACCCATGGCGATATAATTCGATTTGCTCCTCCACTTGTCATCAATGAGACACAAATGCGCGAGAGCATCAACATTATTAAGAACACCATTCTGTCTATGTAGATTTTCGGATCAGAGCTTCTGTAAAGCTCGAATAGCATTTAACAGAACTTATAATAGGTTTTTTGGAAAGTCTGAAATAAATTACATTTTTAATACTTTTTAAAGTAATGCCTGTCTCCGAGCACCAAAAATATGTATCTTATACATTAGGTACTTTCTAGCAACGCAGTGTTCCATAATTTACAGAACGTCTGCTGGCGGAAAAGGTTTCCAGCCTTGGCTACAAACAAATTTCTCTGCTTATAGGTCCAACTTGCCATTTTTTGGCATAGCTTTCAATACAATTGAGTACACACCCTTGAAGATATCTTAAATCAATAGATTAAATGTTGCTATTTTTTTAAACCGCGATTTCGTAAATACCACCTGGTAAAATAGAAAACTACGTATGCAGATATGCTTATATACATCTATATTAACACAATAGCCCATAGGCCTGCACCTTTAAATAAAGTTCATTTTGTTGTCCAGTGCTATCTCCCAATATTTATGTGAAAGTAGCATAATTTCCATAATCTTTTAGTGGAACCATTTTACCACTCTGAACCCCCCGATAACTGCCTCTTGGCAACTAAGTTTGCCACGCCCAAATCCGCTTATAAATGTCAAATGTAATCTTAACCATTTCAATTTGCCCGCCTGTCTGTTGCCTGCAGGCTTCTGTTGCAGAGTACCAGGAGTCAACTTCAAATTTCTTTCATTCTCACACCTGTCAAGGATGTCACCGCTGGCAGTCCCCTTCTCCGAAAGCCCACTCCTTTGCGCCAGGACCCGGACTCCCCTTGTTGTGTTTACCAAGGAGCTCCATCTGTTTGGCTTGACGCTTGGCATATTGATTTTAAAGATTTAAATCAGCTCGAGGAACAACAGGTGACAAGGCAAATGATGCCCGTAAGTAGGCTAAACTTCCCCCTCGGGGAAACGAGATAAAGATCAGGGGTTGGACTACAACAGGCCTTCGATTTGTATTTGATTGTTATTGGATATTTGTTTTGGTGTCAAATTTGTACAATGCCAATTGAAAAACAATAAGTACAAAAACGACCAGAGCAACATTTTTTTCCACCTAATTAAAAGTTGGCTCATTAGGAAAAACGAAAAAGAAATATTCGCTTATCTTTAAAACCATAAAAAGTAAGCAACTCTCGCAGCAGGACCCCTTATCCTTGGGTCAAGTGTTACCGCTTGAAACTAAATCCCGTGCGTCTGGCCTTTTGTCCAAATCTGCTTTGAATCTGAATAGAATGGCCGAAAAAAGCTGAAACTGTTGCCCGTTTTTTCCTATTTTTTCGCGGTGTCAAAAGCCACACGACACTTGGACCTTCCCTGATCTTCTTCTTTGTAGTCTGCCCCATAATCTTTGCCTTTTTATCGCCGCCCATCTGTTGATGCCTTTATTAAAAAAAGAGAGTAAAAGTAGCTGGAAAAATCCATTTTTAGCCCATTTTTTGTGGGTTTTATTGCTCACACAAAACGG